TGCTAATCCCTACTAGACCCTACCCTGCTAATCCCTACTAGACCCTATCCTACTAATCTCTACTAGACCCTATCCTACTAACCCTACTAGTCCCTAATAGATGCTACTGACCCCTAGCAGACTCTAGTAGTCCCTAGCAGACCCTGCTAGTCCCTACTAGATCCTACCAATCCATACTAGTCTATATCAGTCCTTATTGGATTCTACTAATCTCTATTAGTCCCCTAGTATCCTTGTTAGTCCATGGTGAAGTGTGTCAGAACTTGAATTACTTTATAATTCATTCTCGACAGCTAGAGATTCTGTTACTATAAAATATCACATGTTTAATCAAAAATAGATTATTTTAACTCAACTCTAACATCTTACCTATTCATTTAGAAGATTTATTTTACGTTTAATTTATAACTGTGAAATATATCTCAATATAATCGATAGCATTTTTGTATTTAATAATCTTCGTAAAATAAATGCTATCTTGATTTACTCTCACAATAATTCTTAAGAATTACATATGAATATATTATACAGAGAACATATCATATTCTAAACTGAAAAATTTTTGATTCAATCTTTTTTAAACTTATTTAATATTTTGGTTCAGTTTTCTAAAACTCAAAAAACTACATCACTCTTCAATACACAATGCAGTAAATAATATAAAAACTATGATCCTTTGTTGAGACATGTATATGTATGAAGTCTGTGACACTCAATTTTGTCCGTTGGCATATGATTATATAAACTCTGATTTTGTCTAGATTCTCATTATCAGAGCAGAATATATTTAAATACATGAATGGAACTCATTGATCAATTTTGTTCAGTATTGGAATACTTCTAACAAATATAGATCCATCTACAACTAATGAAAATGGTAAGGAAGTATGAAAGTGAATTATTATATTTTCAATATCTTAATTAACTAAAGTATTACATGATTTTACTAAACATCGAACAGTAATCATAAATATTAGTTATTTGTTTCGTATAAATAAACTCGTTAAATGTTTAGCTAAGAGAAATATCATTTAATTTCAATTTTTCTCCTATTAGAAGTCTATTTCTCATATATATTTTTTTTTCAAAATAAAGTCTGATTAATATTCTTATAAATTCAAAAGTCTATAATTTTTTCCCTTGAATCTAAATAAAGAAAAAAAATAAAACTTTTCAATGATAGTGTAGAGATAGGAAAAATTAGGAAAAAAACTACATGTATTATTCACATTTTTTTCTCTCAAAAACTCTGTATATATGAAAATCAACAAGTAGATTCCTAAAATCAATATACGATTAATACAAACATTACTTCAGTAGCATATTCTCTATAAATAATTAAAAAAAAATCACTAAAAAGAAAAATCTGCTTATAAAAATATTAAGACTAAAGATTTAAGAAACCTCTGTCTTTCGAATTCTATTTTTTTTCCCATAAAAGTAAATATTTTCAATAGTCTAGTATGAATAAAATTTTGCATTATTTGAATTCTTTAAAAAAAACCTTAATGAACAGTTTGATTTACTATAATTAACTTTTCAATTAGACGGATTTCAGCATAATTTTCCGTTTCTATCATCTGTGCTTTTTTAAGTCCGTAAGACGTTTGATCGACTTTAACAAATAATTATTTTCCCATGAAGAAAAAATTAAAATTAAACAATATTTATCTTACCTAATTATGTAATAATTTTATTTCTAGTGTTAATCTGAAATAAAAAATCGAAACCTAATTCTTAAAAGAATTAAAGTAATCTTTATTATTAAGCTTTCTTATTTAAATTAAATGTTAATTTATCATAAACATATTTAGTCCAATTTTGAATTTATTCTATTCAAAACAAAACAGAAGAGAAACTTATCCACAACACAAATGCATTTAAAAAGAAATAAAATAGGATAATATTACTCACTAGTTTAACTATCTAATTAGATTTTATGAAAAGAATAAACACATTAAAAACCTATCTACTACCATATATCACCTACCTGCCGTCGAAAGAATTGTTTCTCGGAAAATGAATTGAGAAAAAAGAAAAAGCACTGTTATTTATAATCAATGCGTAGGAAAATAATTTGAAATAGTGCCCTTATGCGTATTTAGTAAAATATCATGAAAAGGACTCTAAAATCGGCATTTATGACTTTTAAATAGTTAAGACAAAATAAATTAAATGTATTGTCAACAACGTTCATATATGCAATATGTTCATTAGAGTAAAAATAGTTTTGCGAAGTAAGTCAAAAGAGAAGAAAATCATGGTTCCACACATTATTTATTATATTCAAAAAAAATGAACAATATGTGTTTATTTTAAACAAAATCTATGTATATTTGAAGATCTGATCAATATTAATAGAGCTTTTTTTAGCTTTGAAATGACTATGTCTATAGAACGAAATTTCTCTTGATATCTATTCTTTTCATATTACATCTAATAAAATATGCTAGTATTCATATATAACAAATTCTTTTTTTTTCTGTTCCAAAAATAACCTAAGTCAGAAATATCTGATTCTATCAATAATTAGCTCAAGATTATTTGTGTACATGTACGTTATGTATTTCAAAATAAGATTAAGATTTTACATTACAATGAAATAGAATTGCTTTTATAAAAGCTCAAAGTTTATTTAAAAAAATCAGTCATTTTTTTTCATAGAAAAACTATTAAAGATAATAATTCGAAAAATTTTAAGAAAATTCGTTTTCTACGAAAGAAGAGAACATCAATGAAAAGAAAAACATGGTTGAAAAGGTAAACTATTTGTTTTTAAATCAGTTAATTCTTCAAAAACCATCTGTTTTTCTCTCTCTCGTATTCTTTTAATCAGAAAAAAAAAGTTTTTCTTTCAAACAAAAATTATCTTTATAATTTGTCAATCATAAATATCGACAAAATTAATATTACGATAATTAGTAATCGTTTTTTTTAGACGTTCAAATAGAACTGATTATTTGCAGTCATTGTTAATTACTTAAATGTTAATATCCTTTTGTCTTTCATAATGAGCATCAAAAGACATGACTTAGAAAATACTCATAAATAACGAACGTTTGTTTTTCCTGATTTTAACAAGTAATGATATTTGTTTGACGTTGTCAACTATTTTCTAATCGAGTTTTACACTTAATTTTGAAAATACATAGAAACAAACAAATAATAACAACATAGAAACAATTCTTCTGCAAAAAATACATATATAGATATAGTACACAAGACTCAGTAATACAATGAAAAAATTAATTTAATTTATAAACTATCTTGAGGGTGTGAATTTAGAATAGATTTAACGTTCATATCCACCCACTCGTATTTTTATCGATTCAATTTTTTTGTGTTAGTTTATTTATTCAACAACAAACATTTAAATGTCGATGGAAACGAGATTTACATGCTTTTCGATGTATTACTATTACAATAAGTTGATTAAATGCTAGAATATTTTTAAATATTGCTCTTGTCATGATAGTTATACTAATCGATGAAGAATATTTTGTATTATATAGCTTTCAATAAGACAATCGTTTTTATTACATCTAAAAAAAATCGAGTGATGTCTTTTTTGTTATTCCTACGGGAGAAATAACAATTGTTTAATGAATTTAAAAAAAGAAGAAAAAAAAGCACTTTATCAAATACAATTTTTTTTTCTACTTTTTTATCAACATTCTGTCTTAAATTGATTAATTCTCTTCACAGGAAAACAAGCATCTATCATTGATGAATCTATTTGAGAGTGAATTCGATAAACAAAATATTGATACCTTCAAAGTTGTATACTAAACATTTATAAATGGCATAATTTCAACGAATATCTGTATTAAATAATGATATAGACAAAAGAGTTCTTACACTTTAATTCATTCTTTTGTTATCGTCGATGTTCCTCATCAAATCAATTTATATATATACAAGATTTAGAGTGGAAACTCAAGAAAAGCTATTTAAATTTTCTAAAGAAATCGATATCCCTTCATCGTACAATTATAAGTTTTAAACACAAGTATCATATCGAATGTAAATCCGAAGAATCAATATATTTATTAATGTAAGAAAATAATTTAGAATAATGCATTTCGTAGTGTAGATTATAATATTATAAATACATTTATCTTTGATTTTTTTCTCCCTAATTTAGATTCTCATACATGAAATTTCTTATGATAATTGTTTTACTTTTATATTAAAAATCTATATTCAGAAAAAAAATGGTAACAATATGAATTATATCTTATGAACGATATCATGTGATCTATTCTTCTTTTCCTTCCTATCGAAAAAAAACACGCCTCTACAAACATTTTTTCTTTCTCTTTCTTTCTCACGGAAGAGATGCTTTTTTGCTCTTAACATATTCTGCACAACGGATGTTTTTCTCTTAACAACGTGCTTCGCAAGTTAACGCTTTAAATTATTATATTGAATTTTTTTGACGTAATAAGTGAATTTGGATATCTGTTTTCTTCTAGGAAATTATTCGGAGATCATGCAAATTTCTATACTTTCTCTTTGTAATTCTTATCTTACACCTACCCTCAATGTCAATAATAACTATCGTCGAGAATAATATTATCGAGCAAATTAACGTCAAATAGGTTTTCTTTGTTCAAAGTCTTCCAACTAATGATATATAGCAAAATGACGTAGTTCGAAAGAAAACGTTATCAAACTCATATCGCGCATATCTCACTTTTTGTTTGCGAGCCCACATGTTTCAGTTCTAGTATATATATATATCAGCAGACTTATCATATTTTCATATACATTAAAGAACGATGGTGAAATTCATCATTATTTTTATTACTTTTCTTTTTTGCATTCAACATACCAGACAGATCTCAATTGAAAACAAACACGATTGTATCTACACACATGCACAATATGGTCGTATCGACTTATCTGAAGTTGGTTTAAAAAATGGCAAGCCAGCTTTTCGATTACTGTTCGACTTATGGCACTATTTGTAAGCTTACTTTCTATATAAATGAGAGTTCTCTGATTTCTATATTTTATGACAATAGCTACAATCCATGTTATCCATTTTCACAAAAACCCTCTTGTAAAGATGTGGCCATGTGCCAAGGTAAATACTATTTTTATATCTTGTATTCGATTATATATCACTTTGCAAATAGTTATTAATACTGGTAAATACTCGTTCGATCTTGGCTACAATTCAGAAGTGAAATGGATAGTTGATAAATATGGAAATGCTACAATTGTGTACTTAACAGACGAACGAAAAGTGTTTGTTGATCTGGTTTGTTCAAATAAACCCAACGCTTTGTCCATGGTAGGCGAATTCCCACCACTGACATATTCTTTCACTTTATACAGTAAATGTGCATGTTGGAATAGATGCTAAATGGTCAATCTACTTTTCTAGTATTTACTGCAGTATATAATAAAATAAAATAAAATAAAAAGCAACTATTACGTAGTTAGACGTTTACTGCTTTTCTTTGATTTTAATTTTGATGATCAGAATGTAGGTAGGAGTGTGACTTATACATTCATTTTATACCTAAATCACACTCGTTTTATGTTTAAAAGATATCCAGATATCACCCCAAATACTTCGGCATTTATCAAATATATTCAAGATGACAAGAATAAATTTAATCATTTATTGTTTCAGATGTAAGGTGAACTTATTGCTCGACTAAAATCAAAAAAAGAAGTGAAAATTAATTATCTTCAGTGGAATGATATTCAACCAAAATGTTAGTTATAGTTTATACTTATTTTTTGTTTATTAAATAAAATTGTTGACGACTATATCACCATTCCTCCTTATTGAGATATTTAAATCTTCAAGATTTTTCCTTTTTCCATTTATTCTCAAGAAACGTTTATTAAAATTCAAAAAAAAACTACAGCGAACACATGAACAAACAAAAGCAAATAATATAACCAAAAAAAAATAAAACAATAATTAAATAAAATGGAAATCAATAAAGTTATATGTAGTACTCGGTCCCTCGATTATAATTAAAAAGATAAAAAGATAAAAAGAAGCAAACGACAAATGAAAATTTCACTCATAACAGGATTACAACAATAAAAAAATAAAAGGAAAAAGTGTTCTTGGCAAATCTTTTCGTGATCACCAATCTATAAGGACGAGTGGTGAAACTGTAGAAAACCTGTTTTTCTGTCATGAATTACCATCTTGAGGGTGTGGGTGATTTTGGATGTGAGTGTCTCTCTTTCGTTCACACCCACACCCTTCCACACTCTCCAGAAGAACACGATGCGTGATGGCTTTCACTTTTTTTAAGCACCTAGGAAAAACTCTTTTAAATGTCTCTCACGCCCTCGACATACTTGAAATATTACACTAGTACTTTCTTTCAATATTCAAATATGCCCTCTCATCTAACTGACACCTAACAAGAACGAACATTTGTACATATTCGTGGCTATAAAGATATGCAGCATTGAACTGCTCTGTTGTAAATGGAATCCTGTTAACAAAATAGTAGTTTTAAGAAAGTGACGTTTTGGAGGCATGCAAATTTTATTTTAAGCATTGTAAAAGCAAAATTCTGTGCCATATGTCAATATCATATTTGTGTAAGAAGTCATTCTAAGTGTATATTGTCAAATAAAAGCAATGTTCTTAATGCGGCATTGAAGTGTCAATAAATCAATAAAGTTTTCAACAATGTAATAGAACTCCGACGTTGTTATCACTGGGGTTTGCAACAACAATATCAGGCTTGCCATCATTATTCACATCAGCAACTACCACGGACGTTGGATTAGCACCAACTGAGTAATTAGTTTGCGAAGAAAATGTGCCATTGCCTACGTTCAGAAGAACCCCGACGGTGTTACTACCGGTATTTGTAACAACAATATCGAGGTTGCTATCGTTATTCACATCGCCGGTTGCTACGGACTGCGGATTTGAACCAACTGAGTAAGTAGTTTCCGTAGAAAATGTGCCACTGACTCCGTTCAGAAGAACTCCGACGTTGTTATTACCAGCATTTGCAACAACAATATCAGGCATACCATCGCTATTCAGATCGCCAATGGCAACTGAGTATGGGTATACACCAACTGAATACGTGATTTGCGAAAGAAATGTGCCATTGCCTGCATTCAGGAGAACACTGATGGTGTTGGAGCCGTAGCTTCGGACCACAATATCGAGTTTGCCATCGTTATTCACATCGGCAACTGCCGGTGAATTTGGATTTGAATTAACTGAATAAGTAGTTTCCAAGGAGAATGTACCATTGCCTGTATTAAGAAGAACTCCGACCATGCTAGGACTGTTGTTTACAACAATAATATCGAGCTTGCCGTCGTTATTCACATCACCGGTTGCTAAGGACTGTGGATCTGTACCAGCTGAGTAACTAGTTTGCGTAGAAAATGTACCATTGCCTACGTTCAGAAGAACTCCGATGGTGTTACTACCTTTATTTGCAACAACAATATCGAGCTTGCTATCGTTATTCACATCGCCGACTACTACTGAATTTGGACCTGCACCAACTGAGTAATTAGTTGGCGAAGAAAATGCGCCATTGCCTACGTTCAGAAGAACTCCGACGGTGTTACTACCGTAACTCGCAACAACAATATCGAGCTTGTTATCGTTATTCACATCGCCGGTTGTTACTGAGTACGGACCTGAACCAACTGAATAAGTGGTTTGATTATAAAACATGCTGCTGCATCCTATCAAATGAAAATTAGTTTTTATAGTCGTCTATATGTACAGTTAGAGTCATTTCATACTGATTCAGATAATCCTTCATATTCTGAAACTAAACAAAAGGTATCTCTCTCGCTAACTTATTGTATGTTCACATGCAACTTTTCTAGCAACTCAACAGTTAATGAATCTATCCACACAGTATCTATTTGTTTAGCATCTTGAGGATGTGGGTGTGAGCGAGGATGGTTGTTCATTTGTCATCCACACTCATCTACCCTCGCGTTATTTGAATATTTCAGTTTCAAGTCTACACTTTTCTCACATTGGTTGTTTTTTATGCACCATATTTCTTTAAAAATTTAATAAATTATCACTGATTGTTCCAATAGATTGAAAAATTTTCTTTTACACATATTACTATTTTTCTTTCGACATTTTGCCGCAAAAAAACTTTTCGCTAAAAACATTTTTGCTCAAAAACCTTTTCGCTTATAGCTTTTTCGCCATATTATTTTTTCGCTCAAACGTTTGCGCTCAAAAAGTTTCGCCAAAATACGTTTCGCTCAAACGATACCATATCTCCCAAACTACTTGTGATCATCATCTTACTCAAAAAAAAATCCCGTAATTTCTTATTTATTTCCTAAGGATCTGTCCAATGCGTTATATTTCTATGGAATTGCGATGAAAATTTGTTTAGTAAATATCAATATTTTGTACAGATTTATGAATATGAAAAGCATAATATCCATAGACGTTTGATGGGATAATTATTTCATTTTTTCTTCATTATTTTTTTAATATTTGATGGTATTGATTGTTTAGTTTCTAGTGTCAAAGAGATTTCGTTTTACTAAGATATTTTCAAAGTCGAATTCGAACAATAAATCTCGAAACAGATCGTTTAGTTCAAGAAGGATTGCTTACGCGAAGGTTTTGGCTGAACGCTTTTTTTCTGTTATTTTGAGCCGAACCGATTGGTGATTTACGCACAGATTTGCCCAATATCTCTGTCAAATTGACTTAACTCTTGATAGCTTGATATTTTTTTTCAAGAAGAAAATAACTTTCTCTCTCTCACAGATATAGTTTTTTACTGACCCGATGGAAATCGTGTTCCACTAATAACATTCATACTCGTAGTGTCGACATCAGCCAATATATTTCCATTTTGGTTCCACATACCAGCAAATAATTCACAATCAGAAGTTGATCGATGAAAAGTGGCTGCTGTGCATTGACTTTGACCTAAACAGGCTATTTGACAATACTTAATGTTTGATGTAATAACATTAAGGAATGGTAAACAAGTTGTATTCGCACATTGAAATTTTGAATCAGATATTAAAGACATTTCCATTGATCGTATATCTTCTCCAACTGTTTGTGTGATAATCATAAATAAAAGCCATAGAGAAACTCTTCTTGAAGCCATCACCCACCAGATTCTAAGTTGATCAAATGAATTCAATTTATAATAGAACACAAAGTATTTATAGAGCAATAAATTCTTTTTTTCCGTCTCTTTTGAGTGGGTAGTGCATCGTTTTTTCCCAGAATTTATTTCTTCAATCTAGTGGAAAAACAGTCCTGACATCTTTTTTCCAGAACTCACTTTATTAGTCTAACGGAGAAACAGTCCCGATGTCATTTTTCTAGAATTCAGTTCATCAATTTAATCAAACAAAGTAGGCATGACTTTTTTATTTAAAAAAGTAATTTATCAATTCGGATAGATGATTTTCCTGCGTGTTTAAATGTTATTTGAGAACAAGTATATTTATCAATAGCGCTTTTGAGTTATATGAAAAATGTAAAGGACGATTGATCTAACAAAAGTGAAATTAAAAAGAAAATATAATCAACATCTAGTTGGAGATGAAATTTTCTGTAAAAATCAAAATAATTTAATTGAAAATTATTATTTATATATTCAAATCTGAATAATTCAAATGTATCTCATAGACTATACAATATATCAATGAACTGTCACATCATTTATGTAGGATAAAGCCAATCGTTAATATCTAAACGAAGAATGAGCAGATGAGTAGTTTTATTAGACAAAAAAACTGAACACTTCTTGAAAATCAAACACACTCGATCTAAGTTTCTATAATACAAAGTATAACAACATTTCAAAAATCTCTCTTTTTGTTATTCTTTCATTTTTTATCAATTATAATCTGTAATTCTATAGATAATCATAGTTTTCTTCATCACCCTGAAAATAATCCAAAGAATTGAGATGTATATTTATGTAGCACAGTGTTAACATCCTATTTATTAGATAAATTAAAACAAACAGTATTTTTAGTATTTCAAAGTTAGTTAAATATTGATTTATCATAACAATACATTCTAATGTACTTTTTTCCTTAACCTCGAGTGAATGTTTGCCTTACTTTTCTTTTATTTATTGTATGTTACGGTCAGGGTTGCCAGATGCTATAGTTGAAAATCCGGAATTTTTTTTTTAAAATCCGGAAAAATCCGGAAATTTTTTCTCAAAATCCGGAAAAAAATCCGGAAAGATTTTTAGAGATCATTTTAATTTATTAAACTTCAGTTTCTCAATCAAAATATCAGTAGTCTTGTTCTAAATCCCCAAAAAATATATATTTCAATGAAAAAAATGTCAAAACATACTGAACTTAACAAATAATAAATCATAAACTATACATTTACATATTAGATAATACGTTGTTTTTCTAATACAATATTTTTCACTAGAGTGAATAAGTTTTAACAGATCCGGTTCCGATAGAAAAAAGTCATAAACTTGTGTACAAGGTATATATGCATTTAAACGAATTTTCAACTCAGCCGCAATAAGATCTGTTGACATTCTATTCCTTTGATCAAACATCTTGAATTTGAAAAAGAAAGATAAAATCAAAATACAAGCGACTTTTTTTTACTATTGTTAATAGATTGTAGAAGAGAAATTATAGACTAGGATGGAGAAAGACGATTAGTCGTCTAAAGACTAAAAGAAGGAAGCACAGAACCGCTATTAAATCAATAAAAGTTTCTAGAATATAAATAAAAATATATATAAACAGCTAAAATGCAATTTTTTATATGAAAAATATTCAAAACCGGAAAAATCCAGAAAAACTTTCAAAATCCGGAAATTCCTCCCGAAATCCGGAAAATTCCGGACGCCGGAAGAAATCCGGAGAAAATCTCAAAATCCGGAACTTTTCCGGGAAATCCGGAAGGAATGGCAACCCTGGTTACGGTGATGTTTTATGTATACAGAACAAGAAATAGAGAGCTTGTAAAATCATGTAGACTCTATTACAATCATAATAATATAAACTACGTTGTTTCACGAAAAGAGAATTGCATATGAATAAAACAATGATGACAGCAAAAAGTTAACTTTTTCTCAATAGAAAACAGAATCTCTATGATCACATTAGAAGAACGAAGTTGATGACACGTCTTTTCTTGAGGGTGTAGGTTTGATTTGATCGAAATACCTACCCACACCCACACCCACACCCACACACCCCCGTATAGAATAGGTATGCTCATGATATGGTTTTCATTTTTTTCCTATTACAGCAAGAAGAATGTGACCAAAAAGAAAAGTGAACTAATCTAATGAAAATACTAATGAACACACAATCAATTTTACAGAAGAAAAAAATTGAAATTACTGTCAAATGAATCTGTTCGTTGTGCACTTGTATGAATACTTTGTTTTTGAAAAATAAACCAAAGAATGGTGGTATTATTGTAAAAAAAAAGTGTTTTTCTGTTCTGTCTCTCGCTTACCTGTGTAGAGACTGGGTTTTTTTCCATGATCAAAATTCGCCGAAAATGTCAGTCTAGTGATTTTTCTCTTTCATATCACCAACATAAAAACACACCAAGCAAATCATCATCTCCTGTTGAGGTGTGTATGTCAGGGTTTGGGTGCAAGTGGGTGTGATCTATCAAGAGCATAATACCGACAACCACACTTACACTCACACACCCACACCCTCAAGATGCATAGACAATATAACGTTTTGATCAAAATAATCTTTATTAGCATTGAATATTGGTGAACAACAATCATATCACACGGTTTTTGACTTTAGAAAAAAAATCGTTCATCACTATTTAGGCCACATATTGTACAATAATCATGTCGTCAGAATTTCGTTTGAGAAGATACCCTCTGTCTATCAAGCTGTCGATACGTTTCTAAAAAGAAAGATAAATCTTTTACTTCTTTCATTGATTCAGAAGTAGCAAATATCTATTACTTGAATGAGCGAAATTTCGGGTAGAAATCTGTCTTTCAATTGATCGATGATCTCTTGAACAAGAAGTGTATGCTTTCGAGTTTGTCGATGTTTCATTATGCGAACGATTACCGCCTAATCATACATAAATATAAACTAAATAATCTTTAGATAAAAAGATTCTTACATCAACAACATGTTTTCGGTCTTCATCAGTCGTGTTTAGTACACGTTTCGTAGTTTCTTTGTCAATTGTTTGCAATGGCTTATTCAAATTGATACGAGTTCTTTGACTGAAAATATCAAAACAATGGAAATGAGTCAACATAGCTTGTATCATAGTTTACTTTGTGAAATTTTCATTTAATCGGATAATATGTTCCATTTCGAAATTCGCTTTTGTAACGTCTTTCTCATTAATCTGCAAGCATCTCAACAGTTTACTTTGAATTAGAATGCAAATAATTTCGAATAGAATAGCAGTCTCAAGTTGTGTCTTATTTTGAATTTCTTCTATTGTCAACTCTAGTGAATTATTGTACAGAAGAAGAATGGTCGTCTGATAAGTCGAGACCTAAAACGTAAAGGTAAATATTGAATAGGAACGATAATTAAAATGATCGATCTTACTTGAAGTATGTACTTTTGACTAGTGAAATTAGTATGTAATTCACATCTCTCATATTGATGAAACCACGTAAGCTTTCGACCATTATGTTGATGAGTATAGAAATCAGTAAAATTTTTCACTAAGGATGTGAGCTAAGTAGGAGAAAAACGAGATCTTAACAATATCGATATCATTGTTACAATTACTTCGAGTGGTAGAGTGAATTTGATTACAGTAGTGAATGGCCATGCATGTGACGTGAGTACCAGAATCGGAAAATTGACTAAATAAATCGTGCAGAGTTTACATAAACTAGATTTTATTTGCGCATACTTGTATTTCTCAATCGGTTTTCAACACAATATTGTCGATATTGTGCACGTAAACTCTCTTGGATATCCATATCTTCAATCATTTTCTGTAATTTTGACGTGTAGAAAAAACCACATTTTACCTAAGAATAGAAAACTCAGTAATTCTAAGTGTTGATGATAGACTTTATCTAACTTTGAGTTCTGTGATCATCATCTTTTCGTAATCAATCGATGCACTCCACTCATACACGAGTCGTTCAGCTAATAATCTCCAATAGAAATTTTGGAATGCATCTTTATCGTTGATGTAATTGAAAACAACCTGTGAAAACAACGGATACAAAGCGATTAAAATACAAAAGATTATTTACATCATACCATAATTTCTTTCAACGGCTTTGCCATATCGGCATCGTCGATAACTTTCCTAGAAATTTTTGTATCAATAGAAAAATGATCATTCTCAACTTTTTTCTCTTCCTCAATAAGCATACCTTGTTTTTAGAACTGTATCAGAGTATCGAGCCAAAAGTTCGGCTGATTTGGTACTGGTACCACTTGCTTCGATAATAGCATTTTTATTTATGAATTTACTGCAAGCCTAAAAATATTCAATTATGTAAGGAATTATGACACAAAACAGACACGTACCCTATCGAGAGCCGCAATAAAACTGCTGCGTTCGCCTCTGAAGCATTCGTGAACAATAGAGATATACTTATTGTAAATTTTAATAATTTTGGTACTATAAACGTTGGCATCCTGATAACATATCAGACACAATATATAGATACATGAGGGCCTGACATAAACGTACTGTGCGTGCGGTTTCAGCGATACTCTTAATTGCTTGCAGTCCCGTTAAATAGATATGTTTTTCGACAATTTCTTTCAGTTTTTCGATGGCACCAGGTACTCGACTCAGTAAGTCGAAGAGAATGATCAAATCTATTGAATGAAATATGTAAAGCGCTGTACCAAAGTATCTAAGCCTGGTTTATCGCTTGTCCTTGCCATGAATATACCGTTCTCATATAATAGACAATGCGAGTGCATTCTGACAGTAGTGCAAGGAAAAACAATGTCATCAGATAAATACTCACCTTGCTTTTTGTCGTTATGCAGAAGAAATTCGGCTCCGGCATAGATCAGATCAAGTTTATTACGAATAAGCACATCGTCAAGAATGGATAGGAGTGAACCTAATGTGGATGGGTGTAAGTAGGAGTTAACACGATACTCCTCTTCGGTGAGACGTTGATCTACCTAACAAAAGTATGAGAGACGAGTTGAGAATACTTACTAAACAGAAATAGAACAATTCACCTTTTTAAGATGTTCACTGATCGAATCTGCAGAAGTGAACTGCGCAGCTTCGCATATATAGAATTGTTTGCTCTCTTGGAGAAATAAAATTTCAAAATATTCTGTGTAAACACTGAGTGTTCTTGGATTGTTTTCTCCCAGTTGTATGTTGTCTAATTTATCGCCCAGAACAACTAAATGAAATACGGCTAGATCGAAATTTCAAATCATTTTTTCAATTTACTGTAACTCTCGATGACAATTTTGATTGGTTTACTATCGATCGTTTCATGCTTACGCTCATTTTTAATCCCATCGAGACAAGTTCGTGTCATTCGTGTGCCAAATGTCTCACAGATCACTTCTTTCCATTTTACCATGGACAACTAAAAATATATGCAATGATCTAGTTAATATTATAGATTGATTCTCATTTACAGTGAATATATCGTAGATATTCGTTCCAGTATCCTGTTGAGCTCTTTTTACCCAATATTGATTAATATAATGACAGAAGCCATTGATAACTTTGCTTGAAAAATGATATTTTTCCCAAGAAGTTTTATAAAATCGAATGAGATCATCATCATGGATGTCATTCGCACTCTAGAATGATAGTACCAAAAAAACAAATTTCATTCATCACTTATTTCTCAAGCGAAAGAAAACAATATTTAACACATAATTTGATTGTAACTCACATCACGAAGTTCAATGAGATGTGTGTAGAATTGAGATTCTAATCTGTTATACAATTCACGTCCACCAAAAGCGTCAGGCTGTGACATGTTTCCATTTCGGTAAAACTGTAACGGTCTAGCACTCGCACAGTGCTTGTATACCTGACTGTTAGTATGGATAAATAAAGGAATAAATGCTAGAATTATATTGCATCATAGAAAGATTATTTACTTATGCAATTGCATATATGCTGTAGTTGGCATGGCTTGTAATTGATAAGATTGGTCTATACCACGCTTAATATCGATCCACCATTCATCGCTGGTAGATTGCCCATGAATTTCTGTCATTGTTTTTCTAGAACGAGAGATGAATGATTTTTTTTTAAAAAGGAAGAAAACGGCGTTTGATGAGGAGTATTCGTTGGATTACACATGTGTATACAATGCCGAAGAATGCAGAAAGAAAGAAAAAATGTTTTGCATCGATGATGACGAAACAAAAAAAACCTACAAATACAGTAGGTAGGAGAGAACGTATAACATGCACTGGTATAGAAGAAAATTCATCAACTGGAATAATCTAACCTTCTCTATTCATGCCGACACCTTGAACGTGTGGATGTGGGTGTCGGTCATACCTGCGACCACCCTTTCACCCACACCCTCATGGTCGTTTTCTTCATATCTGATCTGCAACTGGTTTTTTTTTCAGTGTATTTGTTTGTGGGCGCTCTTGAGCCATCATTTTCTTCCATTTTTGCTCTGCAGTTGGGTTTCTTTTCAGTGTATTTGCTTGTGCGTGCTCTTGAGACATTATTTTCTTTCATTTCTGCTCTGTAACTGGTTTTTTTTCAGTGTATTTGTTTATATGTGCTCTTCAAAGTCGACGCAGTTCTCACACAACTATTGTACATTTACTGCATATATATATGTATATATACAAGCTCGAAATTTCATTCAATCATGAGGGTGTAGATATGGGTGTGTAGTATGAGATGAGAATGACTTATACGCCCACACCCTCACATACATCCCTCAAGAGGAGATGATTATTTGCTTGGTATGTTTTTATGATGGCGATATGAAAGAGAAAAATCACTAGACTGACATTTTCGGCGAATTTTGATCATAGAAAAAAATCCACTCTCTATACAGGTAAGAGAGAGACAGAATAGAAAAAAAATTTTGTTTTACAATAATACCACCATTATTTGGTTTATTTTTCAAAACAGAGTATTCATACAAGTGAACAACAAACAGATTCATTTGACAGTAACTTCAATTTTTTTTGTAAAATTGATTCTGTGTTCATTAGTTTAGTTCGCTTTTCTTTTTGGTCACATTCTTCTTGCTGTAATAGAAAAAAATGAAAACCACATCATGAGCATATCTGTTCTAAACAGGATTTTTTCATTAAAAAACAGGAGTTGATCAGGAGACTTGTTTTTACAAAATCAGAAGAAAAATTAGGAAACTTTCTCTCGAAACCAGAAGAAAAATAAGACAGCGTCACGTACTTTATTTGCGAAAAAGTAAACCTTTTTACCCTCAAATATTTATAGTTTTAATTTTTAATAAACGAGTAATGAAAAGGTCTGTCTGACGAGGGAACCGCCCCAACTGTCCAATCGCTTTTCAGTTCGGGTCCCGTGCATAAAGTAGACCCCAGTGAGGTATGAAAAACCCCAAAAAGATAAGGGCCGCTAGGCCTTCTGTCCCGAGTTATAGGCAATATACTGAAATTTTAGCCTATGATAGGGTATGTAGAAATAAATCGAGTAGCGGTATTTCGACCTGAGATTTTGCCCACAGGGAGGTCTATATGTGACTAGAATACCCTGAAAATTTCAGCTAAAAAGAACGTTTCCTTCTCGAGATATTAAAGTTTAAAAAACAGAAAATTCTAGTATCTTTCGTGGGATATAGGTGATTTTTTGAGACTTTAATATCTCGAGAAGGAAAGGTTCTTTTTAGCTGAAATTTTCAGGGTATTCTAGTCACATATAGACCTCCCTGTGGGCAAAATCTCAGGTCGAAATACCGCTACTCGATTTATTTCTACATACCCTGTCATAGGCTAAAATTTCAGTATATTGTCTATAACTCGGGACGGAAGGCCTAGCGGCTCTTATCCTTTTGGGGTTTTTCATACCTCACTGGGGTCTACTTTATGCACGGGACCCGAACTGAAAAGCGATTGGACAGTTGGGACGGTTCCCTCATGAGAACCGGTACAAATTAATTCCAAACAACTCAATTTAATATAAAAACTATTAATATTTGAAAACAATTGGATTGAAGATACGATAATAATTATACAGAATAATCTAAAACAAATGCAACTACAATACAATAGTACGATCAATTATTCACTATAATAATCAACATAAAACATCATATAGTTTTAATATCCATAATAAACCACTTCATATTTTTAATCTGGTGTAACTACAGTAACCACTAAATTAAAACTGAGTTTCATAATAATCAACTCATTAAAACACAATAAACAAAAAAAAACTAAAATAAAAAGCAAAAGCAACAAACATCACGTATACCATAACAATGTATATACCCAGATAACATATTCATATAAATAAAATAAGCAAATGAGTACCATCATACATTACACAATAACAATAGATATCACCATAAAAGGAACAAAGCATAGAGGTCTCACTATATCGACAATCAAACCATCGGGCACCTGCATAATCAAAACATACACTGCACTTATTAAAAACTCCGTATCATCTACAAAATTACAACCGCCACCAGTGTTGAGCGAATTGTTTCACAGAGATGTATTCTACATTGAAATCAAAACCCTATTATTTATTTCATCTTTAATCAATATTGTGGTATATAGGTATTATATTTTTCGATTTAATAATTCGTTTCTCGTATTCAATTAGTAATTCCTGCAACTGATGATGAGTCTGTCGACTCGAAAGCTATTATTTTTGCATTATATTAATAATTATCGTAAAACCACATAACTATTTATTATTTTTATCAAGTTAATATCAAAATCCTATATTTATTCGTATTTGGTATTACGTAGCTAGACGTTTGCTATTTTTCCTTGATTTTAATTTTAAGAATCAGGATGTGAGTAGGAATGTGACTCATACATCCATTTTATACCTAAATCACACTTTTTTCCACTTTCGTTTTCTGTTGAATGTTTCATTTTGTCATTCCTGATGATGTCGTTAGTTCAGAGCAAGAAATCTTGAATGTTCTTATTATTTCTGTTCAAAATATAATAAAAAATTATTCACGGCAGTTATGTCTTTTTTTTCTCATGAGTATAAATATATCTATATTATTCATATTTTACAATGACAAGAGAGATTTGGTTTTCTTCCTTCTAGGGTTTCTCACAGATATTAATTTAAGATATGGTCATGGCACATAGAAAAATACATACAATTGTAAAGAACGTTTAACAAAACATCATTAAACACTTAATAAACAATTAGATCAACTTGAATAGGATCATGATTAATTTCAACAAACAATTTTTGAACAAAAATAATAGTCACAAAATAATTATTTAATCGAATAAATAAATCAGTAAGGATGATATTTAATTGAAATAATCAAACAAATAGCCGAAGGATATCGAAGAAAAGTGATAAATATACAAATGAATATTTCAATTACATCAAAATTCAATTTATTCAATTAATAGAACAGATCAAATGAGGGTGACTGTAAAGGAAGAAGAGACACTCATTTACACACTCAAGACTAATATTTAAAAAGTTATTCGGCATCACCACATCGCGGACATCCAAAGAGTGCAAGACTCTCAGATTACTGATTAATATGTAAAATTCTGCTCCAAAAATGGGTGTGGGTGCGGTAGAACGACTGTTTCTCCACTCAGCACATATAACTACACACTCGTACCCTCAAAATACAAATCAAGTGGAAACATTGATGCTGCCATAAATTATTCGAAAAGAAAAATAATTTCTAATAGTAATCCTTCTTTCCTCGTAAGATATGAAAAAAACACTGTTTGAATTTGATTCAGCTTATTGAATAGTAATTCGTTTCTCCTTTTTTCTTTCAGTATGTCAGTATGCTACACATAGAAAAAAAAAGCAGAATAAAATCGACTACTCGCAAAGCTACGGAAGGAAGTAGTAAAAATACAGTTTGCGTTACAAAATTTTTCTCCTTTAACTCAGGGTGAGGGTGTAGGCATTGGTCTTTGATTGGCCCTCATCCACACTCTCATCCTGCAATTAGGTTTTTTTTCTATTCTTTTGATTCTTTTGAATTATACTGAACAGTGTTATTCCCAAGTTGCAAACAAAGGATATCACTCAAGTCTTCTCTCAAATATGCTGTATTACGTAGGTGGAAATAATCATAGAAGTAACCATCTTTCGTCATATAGATATGTGAGTTCTATTCTTAATGAAATTATCATTGTGAGTCTTTGGAAGAAAATATTCTTCTTTTAACTATCGATAACATTGTAACTGTTGTTTTTTGTTGATATAAATCTTTAACAAGAGTCACCAATTGTGAGCGTTCGTTCTCGACAAAACTTATGTGATCGTGCATGCATATGTGTATGTTTATTTCTCTATGTTTATTTTTAAAAGGCAAGTAGATTTGTAGAAGAACATGAAAATAAAAACATAAGCAAACAAATAACTAAAAAAGAAAAGAGAATAGCGAGAACCAAAGTCTATGCACTGTAACGGATGCCCTAATGCCATAGATATTTTGAGTCAGTGAGGATGTAGAATGGGACAGGACGATTTTCTGGGATGCCTTTGATAGAGAAAGAAGAGAAAATTGGAGAAGATACTACAACAAATTTATTATGGCCGTGGTACGTCGCAGTTCTTCATTGCACAACAGGTACTTGGTCCAGGGTTTGATAATACTACACAAGCCATGGCATCCAAATTACATTGTCGACATGCAGCATAGTTAGCCACGGTTTGTCGTAGTTGTACTACGAATCTTTCGAAATCGGCTACTATACCTAAATTAGGTATAAACTTTTGTAGAACTGAGAGTAGTGTTTCACAAGCTTTCAATCGGATTGTCTGAATCTGTATTAGCGATTCTGTAAAGAACAAAAAAATTATAGCCATCGAAATTTAAATAAATTTTCATCACCTGAATAGAACCAGCTTTCCTGTGTACATCCACCAGGAGTTTTCTTATAACACGCATCATGAGCATCACAACAGCCACCGTTAACACCGCAACTTTTGAGCACTGCATCGCAGCCGAAACTGTCACGACGCTTCCTGACAAGAGTTTGAATCAGTGTACCTTGTGACACTGAACGAGGTTGACCTTTTTCACAATCACATACGATAAAAAAAAGTACGATGATGATGACAGACGAGCGATGTAGCAAGAGCATATTCTTTGATTGGTATAAGTCGAATAGTTTTTGCTTCAATATATGGTTTTGTTGTAAAAAGATGGTAATGAGTGTATGTTTTGTGTTTTTTTGCCACTTTATTAAATACAAAATTCTTCTCTCTTTTTTTTTCTTTCGCAATAGTGCTGTACAGTGAGTCAAAAAAAAAGGTTTCAATTATTCTATCATTCATCTGCTGTTACTCATCAACCCTTTCATAGACAGCGAGATATACATATATGTCTCATGTTTTTTCTCTCTTTTCTCTGCTACTACTCTCACATTGTTCCATTCAAAATTCGCTCGCGAAAAGGTTAAAAGGAGCTAGGCAGTGTAATATACAGGTAAAAAAAAACAATTTTCACGTAATCAATTTCAAATAAGCAATGCAGTATTGTACCATGATTATGGTTCATGACATTTCCTTAAAGAGCATTCAATAGCCTTATACCCATTTCTTAAAGAGCATTCAATAGCCTTAT